CCCTCCCTCTGGCTCCCAGCAGGGCCAAGGGCGGCTGGGTGCTCTCCTTTCCGCTCCTCAGCAGAAGGAAGGCAGGGGATCCCCGAGTCCGTCCAGCCAGCGAGCGTCCCGTGAGCGGCCTGGGTGCTTTAATGAGCCCCCAAGAGAGAGGCTGCTTACAGAAGCCAGCTCTTCCTACTTACTGTTGCCAGCTGCACGCACTTTTCTGCTCTGACTCCAGCTGGAGGATCATCCCTTCCTCCTTTTGTCTCCTCTGGGGGCTTCATAGCCCCGAGAGCAGCCTGATGTCCAGCCCTGGGAACTTTAAGACTTCTGGACTTCCCAAGGCTGGACACTCTGCTCCGGACACTCCATCCTCATCCGTATCTAGCCTTCCTTTGCTGGCACCTCTGCTAAGCACCCTGCAGGGAGCAACCCAAAGTCCCCGGGGGGGGGGTGTCTGAATGGGGGCTCCACGGCCAGAAGAGCCTCTGGCAGGACGTCCCAAAGATGGACTCCCCCACCAGCCTTCCCAGGGCAGTGGAAGAGCCTTGCCTGGTGGTCCTGGGAGGGGCAGAAGGGCACCAGCCCTTCCCTTCCCATCGAACTAGGAGGCAGCTGACGTTACCCCAAAAGGCCCAAAGGAGCCCCTTGGATCCGCCTGGGGATTTCCCAGGATTGGCCTTTCAGCCTGTGTTGCAGGGCATCATCGGCTGTGCCAGGCAAGGGGGGCGGCCTTTAACCAGCGCCTGCTTCCTGCTCTGCCAAGCACAGCTTGTCCTTCCACCGGCCGGGGTTGGTTCGTTTGTTTATTGGATTTATATGCCGCCCTTCTCCCAAAGGACTCAGGGCGGAGTACAACATTAAAAAAAAAACACATATTACACACAAAAAAACAGAGTATCCAAAAAACAAACCCAATTAAGATTAACCATAACATTTAAAAGCTGGGGAAGCTGCTGGGGGAGGCCATCGTTGGTATGTCCTGCCAGTGGCTCTTCTGCCCACCCCACCGTGTCCTCAGGCCGATCAGACCCCCCCACCCCACCCCGGGGACTCTGGGTCGCTCCCTGCAAGGTGCTCCAACCGTCTGTGGCCAGGGGGGCTTTCCCAGTGCCAGGAGGGGGCGAGGCAGGGGAGTGGCTGCTTTTCCTTAGAGGGGCTTCTTCATGCCAGGTGGCTCCTCTAAGAGCCAACCCAGGCTGGTCCTGTGGCTTCAGCGCCGATTCCCGCTGGGCCGGCTGCTCCACTCATGGCAGCCACCTCCTCCGCCAGAGCAGGCTGGCCTGAGGAACCTTTGTTCTGTGTGTGTGCTAGAATCCCACTTACAGGCCCAGCTGTTTTCTCACAGATGCTCTGCTGGGCAGAGTCTTCCAAGCAGGGCTTGGATCTGCCAGCTTCCCCTGCGCTGCTCAGATGACAGCAGCTGCCCAGCCTCTCCCAACTGGAGTGGAACAAGGCCTGGGCCCAGAGCTGCTCACCGCCTCCTCCCTCGCTCACAGAGCTTGCTGTGGGGTCCCCCGTGCAGCCTTTTCACTCGGGGCTTCTGCCGGCCTCACGCTGGCCTGGGGCTTTGAGGGTCCTGCAAGGCATACCCCTGCCTGCCCGGGTTGAAGGGGAGAGGGGCGGCTCCCTAGCCGGGGCTTGCGGCAGCGGCCGAGGGTTCCTCCTTCCAGGAGATGCGGCCCCCCTGCAGAGGGGGCGTCCGGCGGCTCTTCCCTGGGAGGCGGGACTGGCTCCTCCGCCTGGAGCGGCTCCTGAAGCTGCGCGGATGGAACGCGACTCCCCTGAAAATAGAAGCCGCCCTTCTAAATAAAAACCCGGACGGGCACAAACGGCCGAGCTTCCCCGCCATTCTCCAGGCCGCCCTTGGAACGAGCCGAGTTCGGGTGTGTGCACGCGTGGGTGCGAGTCTGCGGGCGGAGAAGCTTCCCGAGCTCGCCTGGCTGTCAGAACGGATGCGGCCGCCGCTTCTCTCTCGGTCAGGGCGGGATCCGTGGGCGATGCGCGCCGTGAGTCACCGCTCCGCCCGACGCTCCTGAAAGACCCTCTGGCTGCTCCCGGGAGACCCGCTTTCGCCCCGCCTTCTCTGCTTTGTGGATGCCTCATTATCCGTTTATTAAAAATATTTCTATACTGTTACTTCGCTTAAAAATCCTGAAGACACCAAAAAAATAGATTGAAAGTTGAATTATAACTATCCATTCAACCCCAGAGGGAAATGTTAGTAGAATTAATGACAAATGAAAGGCAACATGAAAAGTTATTTTTCCCCACAGGTGCCAGAGAACCATCAGGCACGGAGGGCTCTCTGCTGCTCCGTCCAGGGGCTCCCCCTGCAGGAATCCCCCCACCTCCTTTCCCTCTGGCTGGCAGGCCTGGGACCCTTGGGGGTCTCCACCCTTTGGCTTCATAAGGCCCCTTTTCCTGCTCTCCCGCTTTGCACCTTGGGTATTGCCCAAGTCTAATGTACTCCATTCTCAGCCCCCTCCCACAATGCCCTCTTTCTTTCTTTGGCAGCACACCCCCACGTTGGGCAAGGGCGATGCCCAGAAGGTGGGCTGTACCATTTCCCCAAGTTATAGGGCAAATGTTCCTTTGCCACCCGAGAATCGTTCACACTGCATTCTGCCAACCTTGGTTTGACGGCTCTAGTATCTTTGGATTTTGCCCCAAGGTATTGTGTGAACCCAAAAGAATCGGTTAATCCAGTGCCCCGTGGAGCCTGTTGTCCGGAGGCAGAACTGCCGTAGTTCCTGCAGAGCAAGGGGTCCGTCCGTGGGTGGCCATGGCTAGAGTGAGTGGGAGCTGTGGGGCTTCATTAAAAAAATAAAATCCTTTAAAAACTCCCAAGGGCTTTTCCAAATCCTGAGCAAAGGATTTGACTGGCATCTCAGGGCCAAGCTGCCCACAACATTCCTATGGGAACAAATGGTGGCTGCCTCTCTTGGGACCATGGTTTGGTTCACGAAACTCGGGTTAAGAACCTCTTGGCTACATAGACAACTCACTAGGCTCGGCTGCTACTTTTAACCCTTTTTTCATTGGCTTGGCATGTTAGGGGATGGCAGGTGCTACATTTCTACGTGATCAAAAAGTATCTTCTGGAACTCGGCTCCTTTGGAGAGCTCAGGGTCAAGGTCCCCACAGTGGGCTAATGAATTAAACCAGCTGTGCTGCATGGAACCTCCCCCTCCCCCCTCAGCTCAAGGGACGGAAAGCTGCTGTGGCTGATGGAGGGGCAGAATAGACCTGGAGAGGCCGGGAGAGCCTCCTGCCACCCCTTCAGGGCCCAGCCAGGGAGCAAAGAATGGCGAGAGTGCAAAGGGGAAGGAAAGACCCCCAAAGCCTGCTGGTCAGCCACCCTTCAATGGGGACGTTTCCTTCTTCCTAGCAACTCACCCCCCCCCCTCCAAGGCTGAGAGACCCCTTTCTGGGCAGAGGTGCATGAGGGCCCTAGTAGGACTAGGGAGGCTAAGGATGCTGGTACTGCTTCCCCACCTAAAGGCCCAGAGAATCTCCTGGATCTGTTGAGAGATCTGTCCGGATGGAGAAGGCAAGGCCCATGAGCCACAGCCACACTGGCTCACCTGGACAGAGAGGGCCGAAGGTGGTCTCTGCCCATTGGAGGACACTGCTGGCACCCACCTGTGGGACTTCCTGCTGCAACCCCCCCACCTCCAACAGCCTGCAGTCCCTCCCGGGTGGACTGAAACCAAGCCAGACACGAGCCTGAATTAATTATAGCTGAAATGACACCCGCAGAATTCAGCTCTCAACCTCCATGCTGCCCCGCCCAGCACACGCTGGCAGCAGCCTACCCGTCTAGCTGTGGGCCTTGGGGGCAAAGTCCAAGAAGGCCCAGTCTGGCCATCGGCCACGCTCCTCGGAGCAGCCTCTCCACCCCCACCCCCCCACCCCGGAAGGGCCCCTTTTGGCCAGGGGCTCCCAGGGCTCCAAGTGATTTGGGCTCTGGGCAGATGGAAGCTTGACTGAGAAGCGACCAAGAAGCCACCATCGCTCAAACCAGGTCTTGGAATAATATTGGCCCAATAAGGTCCCTGGCCTTGCAGGTGAGATGGAGCAGGATTGGGAGATGCTGGGGAGGCTGTGAGGTGCCAAGGCAGGGGGGGAGGTGCCAGCAAGCCCAGCTATGTCAAGGCTGAGGAACAGCCTCCCCCCCCCTCCACACACCTTGCACCAGCAGGGAGATGCCAGGGCTGGGTGCAGACTGCCCATCAAATGAAGGCACACAGGGTGGTGGTGGTGGTGGGGGCTGGGGGGGGGGTGTCAATGTGACCAGCTGCTCCCTGCCCAGAAAAGGTTGCAGGATTCAGTCCTGCTGGAAGTAATTGACGGACTTCTTATTCTTTAGCTTAAAAAACCAAAAGCTCCAGGAATCAGGCTGCAAACGGGACAGTTGTTCAAATTCTTGCACCGAAAAAGCTCCTCCCACCCCCAGAAGAGCCGCCTAAGGCAGGACTCCAACAGGCAGCCCCTTCCCAGCCCAGACCCGCCACCACCATCCGAAGCCCAGCTGGGCTGTGGGAGGGGCTCAAGGACAGGGCCCTCCCTTCCCGGGAAGCACGGCGGCGGCGGCGGCGCTTTTCTGTTGCTTTTATTGTGTGCAAGACAAACCGAGACAGCCAAAATCCAGGTCCCCCCCCCGCACCGAAGGGGGCAGCGACTCCTCAGGTTCCAGTGAAGATCCACACGGTCCAGTTTCTTTTTGCACAGCAAAAAATCCGGGGGGCGGAGAGGGAAGATGAGCCCCTGGGGAAGAGCCCCTCTGCCCGCAGAGCCACGAAGGAGCCCCGCCCTTTCAGACGCCAAATTCCACGGCTGGAAACAAACGCGCCCCTCCCCCACCCGGAGGACCGACCAACGTTTGGCCGCAACTGCGGGGAGGGGCGGCAGGCAAGCCGGCCTCCGGCGCCCATCCCGGATCGTTCTCCGCCGGGCCGCCCCCTTTCCTGGCGCCGTCTGGGGCCCCGCGGAGCTGCGGGAGGAAGCGGGGCTGGTCAGCCGCAGTCGGGCTCCGGGCTGTGACAGGACCGCAAGGGCGGCGGGGGTGAGGAGCCCCCTGTTCCCCCTCCTCCTCCTCCGCCGCCGCCGCCGCCCTCGTGTCCGTTGCTCTCGATGGAGGACTCGCTGCCGGTGCTCTCCCCGGAGAGCAGGCGGGTGACGCGCAGGTCGGCGCGGAGAAGCGCCACGTCGTTGCCGATGGCCAGCTCGCCCAGGCCGCAGATCAGCTGCCCCAGGCTGGACCCCGCGGGCGCCGCGCCCTCCCCGTCCTCGTCCTCCTCTCCCAGCGGGGCCAGCAGCTCGTCTTCCTCGTCCTGGGCGCCGTCGCACTCCTCGTCCTGGGCGCCGTTGGCGCAGGCCGGCCCGGCGGCGCGCTCCTCCAGTTCCTCGCCCAGCGAGTCCTCGGTGATGGAGCCCAGTTTGGGCGCGCTACGGCTTCGCTCGACGGGCGGCTTGTAGCAGCCGCCCGGGCCGTGCAGGAGCAGCTTGCGGAGCGGCACCAGCGGGATGGCGCCGTCGGCCCCAGGGCCCACCTGCTGCAGCTGCTGGTGCCGCGCGTCGGCGCGCTTCTTGAGGCGGCGGAACTCGGCCAGCGCCGCCGCCGACGTCTGGTACAGCAGCAGCGCCATGGCGCGGGCCTTCTCCGCCTTCGAGACCAGCACGGCGTGGCAGCGGAGCAGCACCGCCTTGTGCTTCACCTCGTGCCGGTAGATCCAGGCGAAGAGGCGCGGCAGGCGAGGGTCCGCCACGCAGTAGGTGACGCGGTGCAGCAGGTAGAGGTGGCCCGGGCGGGAGGCGGCCTCGGCCGGCACAGCGGGCGCCAGGCGGATGCCCTGCGGCCCGATGGTCAGCTTCATCTTGGTGCCGTGGCGGCCGGCCTCGCTCTTGGCCCAGATCTTGGCCACGGCCACGTCGGTGCAGCCCTCGCCCTTGGCCTGCAGCGTGGTGGCGTTGCCCAGGTAGAGCGCCGTGTAGGTGGGCGCCTCGCTGCTCACGCGGAACTTCTTGCGCTTGGAGCGGAACAGGCTGCCCATCCTGGAGAGGGCGCTCTCGGCCGGGCAGGCGCGGGCCAGCGAGCCCAGGGCGGCGGAACAGGGCAGGCTCCCGGCGCCCGCCTGGCAGTAGTCCTTGGCCTTTCCCGACGGCGGCGGAGGAGGAGATGCGCCGCGCGGGGCCGCTTGCTGCTGCTGCCGCTCCCGCCGCCGGCCCTGCTGCGGCTGCTGCGGCTGCTGCGGCCCCTCCTCGTCCGTGGCCAGCAGCTCGAATTTGTGCCTCTTCCAGGGCAGCATCGCGGCGCCCCCGCCGCCTCCCGGCGGTGCAGCCAGCCCGGGGCGCTGCGGCTGCTGCGGGCCCTCCTCGTCCGTGGCCAGCAGCTCGAATTTGTGCCTCTTCCAGGGCAGCATCGCGGCGCCCCCGCCGCCTCCCGGCGGTGCAGCCAGCCCGGGGCGCTGCGG